ATTCCTGGCTTGGGGAAAGGGAGGATGGCTTACTGGTTTATGGAAGGCATATGAAGTAATATGAGATGATGCAGATTGGAGGCACTGGGGAGCTCATCAGTGATGTCCTTCACTGGAGCAAACAGAAACTCTCTGATAATCCAGAAGTAAACTTCTTGCATCTTTTAATAAATCTTTTTTAATAAAGGCCTGTCCCACAAGTAGTCATTAGAGGAGACACTAGAGTTACAAGTGTAGTGATCCACTGAGGGAAAATGGGGCTGTGGTTCACTGCTCTATGCCCATCTCACCCTCATATCTCAGTTAAATTTGTGTAGTCTGTCTTAATCTCAGTTCTTGCACAAGAAAACTCTTCAGGAAATTTTGCTTCCACTCTGTATTACTTCTGAATTGTTCCTTTATTATTTCCTCTGGCTGTGCTTCCAGGAAGTCACTGTATGGGAACTGGCTCCTCAGGACTAATCCTTGTGAGAGCTGGGGAGTACTCTGAAGAGTATGGTGCCCATCTTGTTGATCAAGTTATGTGTTGGGAAATCCACCCAAATTGATCAAACCATCCAGGGCACTGACAGCAGCAGCCTATTCCCTTGCCTGAGAAGTGACAGCGATAGAAAGTGCTTCTGCTTATATGTGTATGCACATGACTGTGTTGGCCGTTTGCAAGTTCTTTGCTTTTTTAATTGCAGCCCAACTATCAGTCATCATTTGCCCCCTCAGCACCTTCTCAGCCTTCAGTGCCTTCCCTCTTCACGCCTCAGCCAGTGCCAGCGGTATCTATGACACCTCACCACGTTGCCCCTCCCCAGGCCAGCATGGGTCCACAAACAGGGCCCCCATACCCACAGTACAACTTGGGCTTGGCTCCAGCAACTGTTTCAGGGCCAGGTAAACATTGTCTGATAGTTGTGTCCGTTCTCCAGGTTTTCTTAGACTAAAGTCTTTAACCTGCATGACAGGGTCTGTCGTACTTAGAACAAACAAGTCAGCAGTCTGAGAGGCTTTGCAGTGCTTCTGACACATCTCAGTTATAGCAACTGTTGCTGGATATCCACTGGTATTAAGCATATCTAGGGGTGGAGAAGCCACAGCTACCTTTGTGGCAGAGTTTGGGCTGTGGGGGATACACCTGGCATGGATTTTCTAGGGTATAGCTTGGAGAAGGGCAAACTTATTAGTATGAAAGAAAGCGTCAGGAGTAGTTTGCACATGAAACGAGTGATGCTGATACATTCCCTTTCTCACTTGTAGCTGTGTGTCAGTCTCAGCCATTTGGACCAGCAGGAGTCAGATCGGTTGGACCTGCTCCCTTCCCCAGCCAACCTTCTCTGCCAGGACAGTCCATGCCCATGGCATCTCCTGGTGTTTCACCACCCAGATCTGCCCACTTCACTACAGCCTCAGTCCCATCACCTCAGCTTCCTGCAGCTTGTCCTCTCCCTGTGGCAAGCCAGTCTTCTCTAGGTTTCTCTTCAGCATATTTCAGCCCAATGAACATGGGTTATCCTCAGGGAGGTCCTGGAGCTCCATCTACTCAACCTGTGCCAGCAGCCAGTGTTCCTCCTCCTCCCACAGGTAAGTACTGTTTGTGTGGCTTGTGTCCAGGACACTCCTGGATATGGGGTTTTCACTGTTTAATACACAGGAACCTTCTGTGGTCTGGTCTGCCACCATAGAGGCTGGAGGTGGTGCTGTGACTAACCGTACAGGCACATTGTGCTGAGTCTTGTGGTGATGGTGAAACAGTACTGATGACAGTTTCATTCAGTCTGTCCAGCTGCTCAGTCTGCCAGGTTGCAGTTACATGCTTTCTCTTCAGGTCTCCAGTGCACCCTGAGTAGTCATCCACTGCAAAAGCATCTGCTCTGACTGAAAAACTGGTAGTTCCCAGGGAATGCCTGGTGGAAGGTTTGCTGAGCTCATCCCTGCTTATGTAACTTATACAAGAAGTGCATTTGAAATGCTGAGAGAGCAGGATGCTGCTTCTCTGTCTGTGGGATACCCCTTGCTTAGCTTCAGGATAAAATTCCTCTGGCTGCTATGCTCTATTTCTCCGTGGTTTTTCCTGTTGTTCTGAAGTGCTTGACTGGCACTTCCGTATTCCTCTGTGCAATGCTCCAGATCTGGAGCCTTTCCCCTCTGGGTCTTTAGTTTTAATTCAGCCCAGGCTGCAAGTACTGTGAAGTCCTTGCTAGCACAGCAAAGAAAAATGAAGTGTTGTTGGACTTAGTTCCCAGTGGCTGGGCATCCCCTCTTTCTATTTCCCACAACATCACTGTATCAAAGTTAGTACTTTATGTGCTGACTCAGGAGACAGGTTTAGCCAGGCTGTGGAGAACCCTAACAATGAGGCTGTCAATTCTTAGAATTTTGAGCAGGTGCTCCTCCAAGTCACGTGTATTCTGAGAGTGAAGGAACTGAAACTTTTAGGTTTCCCTCCGCCTGGAATCTTTTGCTGGGCTGTGTTTAACCAAGGATAGCAAGCATGTGTTCTAAGCTAGGGCTGGACAAATTCCTTCTGAAAAGCTAACAGGAATACTAGTCCAGGGACATTACTCACGGAGTAAAAGCTGTTGGTGATTATGACTCTCCCATCCTACCTTGATTTTCAGGTTTCTTCCCTTGGCTAGATCCCCACGTGGATCATTCAGGTAGTACCCAGAGAAGCCACCCGACCTGCAGGGGAGGCGATGTTGCTGCTTACAGTGAAATGTGGGGGGTGTGTGCACGCTTCACTGTGTGTGCATGCATGCTCATTGCTGTTGTTTCCTTGCATGCCTGTACAGCTGGGCTAGTGGGCATACTTGTCCTGTGGACGAGTAAGTGACATCTGGGAATGTCAAAAGTTAAATGAAAGCACTGTGATCTTACTGACTGGTTTGGGTACAGAAAGCAGGTGTTCCAGCTTGTTCCTTCTCTACTTCCCTCCAGTCTTGGAGGAATTAGACCATTCTCAGTCTCTGTGTCCAGCAGTTGCCAGGCCAACAGAACAGGGAAGCAGCCCCTTTTCCTTACTTGGTTCTTTAGGCAAGGAATAAGCCACTGATTGTAACTTTCCTTGTTTTCTCCCTGTTACACTCCCAGCCTTGTACTTGTGCTTTCCCAGGTGGTTTGGAAGAGGTAGGTCCCAGCATGAGCAGTAGTGGTGGAGAGCTTCCCAAGCAGAATTTGGAGGCTCTATTCCAAGTACAACTGGAAAGCCCTTTTGGCTTTAGTTACAGGACAAGTTTTGGCTTTGAATCTCAGTCCAAGGTTTTCTGACTGACGATTTGTACTTTCTCTCCTTGGGTTTCATTGATGATGGAGAGTAGATATATTCCAGTCTACACTGTCAGTGGGATAAGGCTCAATGCCTTAGTGGGCTGTCTCTGCACAGTGAGCTTTATTAAGGAAACCTGTATACTTGGTAGCCACACCACCAAGCAAGCCATGCTGTGTGAAGTGGGACTCTAGAAAGGGAGTTTGTCCCTTGAGCAGAGAAATAAAAAATCTCAGTGGTTCCCTTTTAAAAGCAAGATGATTCCACGGCAAGGATTTCAAACACTTCCCCAGGCTGAAGTTGCCTGGGAACTTCACTGGAAATTCACTGATGGGAAGTTCTCATCCTCTGGTAGCATTTTTCCCCTCAGTTTTAATGGCTGCATACAGCACACCCATATCTGCAGTGCAAACTGGCTTCCTTGAGAGTGCTTTCTTGCCTGCTATTGGTTTTTTGGTTTTGATGGGCACTTTTCTTTAGTCCGGAAGGGGACTGTAAGGTTAGTCAATCTGACTGACCAAACTTGCTTGCTTTGGAAATTCCTGAACATGATCTGAACAGCTCATGAGCGGTCTCACTAGCACGATGACGAGAGATGTCCACTTGTAGCAATCCCACGCTCCTGGGGAGTGTCAGGGACAGGGTGAAGGACAACACCATGCTGGCTGATCTCCTTTCTGGCTAGTATAATCCCCGACTCCAGCCTGTGCTGACTGTCTTGTGTTTTCTAGGGCAGGCATTGCTGGAGACTGCTGCCATGTGCCACTTCTTTCAGAGTTGGTGAGAAATCCTTTCACAAGTGGCATAGGCAAGATAGCCAGAGTTTCATCCCAGCAAAATGCAGCAGGGTCCTGTTGTCTCTTGTTTGTTGATTAAGTGCCTGGCTTAAAGACTATAATTTAAATAGCTGTTTCCTGTGAGGATTCAAAGTGCCACTGGGTTGGAATAGTGCCAGGGACTGCTAGGCCACAGACTCGGTGGGGGCCAGCAGAGTTCTAGGGCACAGAATCCCCAAGCTAGAAATAAGTGCCAACTTAATTAAACTACTGATCCAAACTCATCAGAAAGTGAGTCTTGAAATCATGGGAAAAGGGAGGGCAAAAAGAGGCTGCCAGAATTTTAATAATAAAGGTAATTAAAGTAATGAAGCACCTTTTGCATGTTTCCCCTGTGATTTTTAAAGCTCAGTTCAGGATCAGTGGCTCATTAAGTGTGGCACTGAGCTCCAGCAATTTTGATATTGCCCTTTAGAATTATGCCACTTTCTCACAGATTATTCCTGTCTCATCAACTTGAGGTTATTAATACTGGGGTGACAAAAGAAGCACTAGGGTTTTGTCTAGAGATGCAGGTACCCTTACAGGACAGCAGCAGACAAGGTAGTTGGAATTTGACCTTCGCAGAATGAAGTGCAGTCACAAGTCTTTTGATGTGATTTTTGTCTGATGGGTTTTTAATTACTTGCAGTGAGGTTAGAGGCTAGGTACCACAGAAGCGACTGCTGAGACAGCCTCTGCTCCCAAGGCATTTACTGGTTAAGTCTGTTCTGTTCTGGTTGGGAAGCCAGTAATTTTGCTAAGCTTTGGTTCTGAACATGAGTTTGGAAGGAGCAAAATTTTAACCCACCCCAAACTTTTTCCCTCTTTATCACAGTAACCTGCATTGCTGTGGACTGCCACCGTGAGGCACTCCTGCAAGTGCTGGTCAGAAGCCATCCGAGATTTTATGTTTGGGGAAGCCCGGGAGCTCCATGAACCCTGATGTGCACACAGATGCAGGTCCTGACCAAGGCTCAGGCCTGACTCTGAGGCTGACTTCTGCAGCCTGTGCAGAATGCAGAACGCTTCAGGTAGCTGCAAACAAGCTTTCTGTGTGGGAGCAGGTGTGTGGCAGTTCAGTCTGATCAGACATCACCGCCTGAGTCCTATGCATGTATACAGCTGTTAAAAATGTTACTAAGAAAGAGAAGCATGAGCAGTTCTGTGATCTGGGCCTGAAATTCTTCAGTTGAACTGGTCTGAAGGTGGGAGCCACAGACCCTGTTGCTGAGGGAAGTTCCAAACCATGCAAGCAACCGTGAATTGTTGTTGTTGCCACTTTCTAGAAGTCTGACGTTTGTGTCTTATTCTTTCTCCTGGCAGCTCAGGAACCTTGGACTGATCCTTCCACTGTGAGAGGAGGCCTTCAAAAGAAAAAGGTAAGCTTTCAGCTGCAGTGTGTTGGTTGTCTTTTAGCCAGGGAGTTCCATGTGACAGATACATTCCTATAAATGCTTCCTGTCACATTCAGCAGCTCTCATTCCATGTTGGTCTCTCTACTTCTGCATTACATGCATAGCTAAGACTGGAGTCCTAAGTTATCTTGTCCCTTTGTCATCCAAACCTGCTTGCCATTCTCCAGGGTGGGTGTTCTGTAGCATGGTAAGCATCTGTGATGCTGCATCCACTGTCAGTACTTCTCAGGCTGAGTACAGTTGCTTGTTGCTAGAAATACAGGTTTAATCTTACTCCCTTACACACCTGTTTTGATAGTGGCTGGAGAGATCATGCTCACTTCACATCTGACAGTTGGGAGCATCATTTCCCCTCAGCGTAAGGAGACCTACAGTGATTTTCCTCAGATGCTGATACCAACTGATAAGGCACTTCTGCTGAAAGAAGCTGGGACAGGGGTAGCTGTGTGAGCTGCCTGCTGCATTGGCTCTGCTGCTTTCTGCCTTGTAGTGGTTTTACTGGAGGACCTGTGAGCTGAGCTCTTTTGCAACAAATGCTCTCAGTACCCCATTTCTATCACTGCTGCCTGCTGGCAGGTGTGACAAGAAGCTTCTTTGGCACCATTCCCACCCCCTACTCCTCTTCTTTAGCTTGGAACAGACTTCTCGCCCTTTTTCTGGCAGCATAGCTGGGAACCTGCTTCAGGCTGTGCTCACTACAACAGGATTAGCCTCTTGTTAAAGCCATCTCCTTTTGATCTAGCCCTGTCGGAGTGAATCTATCCTGACTCTCTGGCTTAGCAGGGGCACGATGAAGTGTTTGCAAGAGGATTCTCCCCCCATGTCGTGGGATTTTCCCCAACACTTGCTCTGTTGGACACTTTACTGCTGCTAATCTCTACATTCAGGACTCGTGCCGTCGCAGAGCCAAGGCGGCTTTCTGAGGACCCGTGCTTTCAGGGGCAACGGATCTGTTTGATTGAACAATTCCAGAGGAGTTTTCTTGCTGTCGCTTTGACTGTTCATCTAGGATGCAAGAGGAAGGGCCCCATGCTCTGAGTCAGGGGGCTGAAAGAAAAGGGATGTGTTACACATCATCTTGAGAACTGGGCACTCTGCAAGTTAGTAAGGAAGTTGAATTTGACTGCAAATAGTGTAACCAACCCTCCTTCCTTCAACTTGGTTTTCTTGATTTATATTTTTTTTCTTTCTTTCTTTTGCTTATAGTTACCTGAGAAATTTACTCCTCCAGCCCCCATCACAGCTCCAGTAATGAGCCTGCCTCCTGAGCCCCAAGGGATTCATCCTCAGCTGTCCAGGTTGCAGGAATCTGGCCAGTCACCCCCAGGAGCACCCAAGGAAGGCAGCCTGCAGGTACCCAGGGAAACAGCCACCAACACATTGTCAAGTAGAAAAACAACTCAGCTTTTGACATTCTTATTGACTGGCAGCTGCAGGGCTTATGTTGCTCCCCAGCCCTTAAAGACATCTGTGGCTGACTGTTAAGAGGAATTGCCAGGTTGGAAAATGACACCTGGGTATGGCTGAGAGGGAGGCCAAACAGGCTGTCAGCCTGCTGGGAGTTGGGAATCCACAGAGGCCTGAAGCTGTACCAGAGTCTGAAGATCTCTGTGCTTCCAGGTGTTCTCTGGGTTTGCAAGGGGATAAAATTCTTCTGTTTATAGTTGCAAGAGTTCACGTTGCATTCATTCATCTGTTTCTCTCTCTGACAGTATCAGCAGCTACCTGTGGAGAGGGTTGAGAGGAAGGAGGTGCCTCCTGAGCACCAGGCTCTGAAGACCACATTTGAAGGGTTGGTGCAGCGCTGCTCTGCTGTTGCCACTGATCCAGTAAGTCCTCCTTTCTTTGATATTTGGCCTTTTTGTCCTCATAGATGTTTGACTGGTGCTTTATTCTTTTGGTTGTCAAAAGAGAGGAGGAGTCTTGTCCCTTTAACAGTTTATCTCCATCTGACTCCTTCCTTTGTAGGCTTATCTCTCTCTTGGGAACTGAGATGCATTCTCTAGCATCCATCCACTGCTTCTCATTCCCTCTCCTGGCTCTTTTCTCTGAAGGAAGTAGAAAAAATCATAGAATCATAGAATGATTTGTGTTGGAAGGGACCTTAAAGATCTTGACCCCGCTGACTCAGTTTCCTTTTTCATTGGATTAATAGTTTCTGTAGAGCTGGTATTACCAGCTATCTCAGAGTTTGCAGGTAAGGGTTGAGATACTCTGGCTGGAAGAGAAAGCCAGGCAGTCTTTATGTCCAAGTCACTGTAGTGTCTCCATCGTAGTTCCTGGAAGGCTGTTGGCATACATGTCATGTTGCATGAATTTATCAGGCCAGACTCTCTGGAACCAGAAAAGCAGTGCACAGTGAGGATGAAGGCACGGCTGATTTGTATCACAGTCTTTGGCTGTCAGAGGCTGAGATGCAGCTGAATTGTAAGGTGCTGTGGGAGGAGCAGAGGAGGGGAGGGACTGAGTGGGGAAGAGCCTGGTTGTGGCAGAGGTGGCTTTGAAGCTCTGGTAGAGCTAGCAATGCCTGTTTCACTTAGAAAACCCGGAGGAAGCTGGAGGATGCGTTGCAGCGGCTGGACTGTTTGTATGAGAAGCTCCGTGAGCAGGCGGTAAGTAGATGCCACCATTCCCTGTGGTCCAGCCAGGTTTCTGATCCCCCCTTTACACAGAGCTGTGGGCCTTGGTGTCTATCCCAGTGTTACCAGAACATACGCTCTTGGGAAAGCTAGGGCAGTGCCAAACCTTATTATTGCACCTTGAATCCAGCCAGCCTTATCTTGTCTTCCTTAAACTTGGCCCAGACATAGTGTAAGAAATAGCTAGGAAGGTTATCTGCAGGGTCCCTTTGCCTCCAGGAAGTATACTGGCATATAGACAGGTTCCACATGGGAATGGGTAATAGGGTGAACTTGTTAAGTGTGAACCTAGTGTAACCTCCAGCTTAGAAAACTCTGAAACTGCTGATGCTAGTTTCTGGAGGGATAGCTATCAAGGGGAAAAATCCTTTTCACATATATCCTTGTCCTGAGTGTTCATATTAGGCCTGAACAGAGTCAGGGTTCTGTGCTAGATGGAGCTTTGGCCTCCTTGAATATATTCAGTAAATGCTGAAGTGTCATTACTTAGAACCTGTGTTCATTTTAACCAGACTATTAGATTAGTGTTTGTTGTGGGCTGAGAAACTGCAGAAAGAAGCAATCTATCCTTCTTGACAGTGCCTGACTGTGTAGGTAGCTGCTGTTTGGTGAGGATGAGGTGGAGAACACGAGGGAAAGGTGTGGAGGAAAGGGTGACCTGTGTTACAGTGCTGAACATGTTGACTCATTTCTGCTCCCTCCCCACAGCTCTCTCCAACCATCCTCATGGGTCTTCATGAAATTGCCCGCTGCATTGAAGCTAGGAACTACCAACAGGGTCTCCTGGTTCACACCCAAGTGGTGAGCAGCAGCAGTTTCAGTGAGGTGTCTGGTTTCATGCCCATCCTGAAAGTCCTCATGACCATTGCTGGCAAGCTGAATGTGTGAAGTGTGGAGCAACTGGAACAGAGCACACTGAGAGCTGGTGGACCTCTTCACCTGTTGATGTGCTGCAGGTTATGGACTCTCCTTCTGACTCTGGAGAAATAAGTCTGTGCCAGTGCCTGGAACTGTGCTGGGCCACTGTGCCTGGCCTCATCCACTCTCCAGACAGACAACTGGGGCTTGGGACTCCTGGAGACTGTTCTTTCTCTTCTTTCTCACTAGTCTGAGGCCACTTCCCAGACCAGGAATCTTAGTTTCAGGCTGTCCAGGTTGCCCAGAGCTTCTCTTCTTCCCTGTTTTCCTTGGCACAAATGGGAAATTCCTTCCCACCCAGGCTGACCTTGCTTTCTTGTTTTAGGGGACAAACAGGGCTGGCACCTGCAGCAGACAGAAGAGCCTCAGGCTCTATTCCCTGCTGCAGTGTAAATTGCCTGAGTGATAGCTGAGCTCCCTCAGGACCTAAGCTGGAGTGTCCTTGCTCTGTTGGGCTACAGTGAAGATCTCTCCTCTGATTTCTCCTTTCTCTTCATTCTCATCTTGACTCACCTTCTCACCCTTGACTCACCTTCTTACCCCTCTGCACCCATATCCTTGCTACAACTCGGATAACTACCAACCTGCTCTGGGCTAGCTTTGGTTCTCTTTTTCTTCTTCACCCAGCCCTTTCTTTTCATAGTTGAATCTCCTGTTCATCCTGTATTCCCTCTCCTTTATAACTTTTCCTCCATAAGCTGCAGGTTTGAACGCTTTTTGTTTCAGACCTGGGACAGGTTCCCCCTTCCAGCTTCTGGGACCCTCCCATTCAGGAATTACAGCCAATTGGAATGCTGTGTGTGCTCCTCCCTGGAGCCGGGTGCATTCTGAGTTTGGGCTAAAAGCCACACACTTTGGTTTTTGGCTTTTTTTCTTTATTTTAGGTGGTTGGCCTTTTGCCCACTGGTGTTATCTAGTAATTATCTATATCAGGCTTTTCAGACAGTCTGTGGGCTTTAAGAGCAGAGGGGTTTTTTCATGTCTCATAAAGAATCCCTTCAAACTACTCTGACCAGCCCAGGCTTGAGCAGGAGGAGAGAACTCACTGCTCCAGGTATGGTGCATTCATTCTGTCTACAGTAACAGGTACATGCAGAGGTGGTTCTCAAAGGCCCCTTGACACTGGTGGCAGGAGGTGATGCTGTCAGGTCCCAAGGATATGGCATTTCCTCTGGGTTAAAATTGATGAATGAAGCACATTGGTCCTGGGGAAGAAGTCTAGGAAGGCAGATGGGATTTTAGGCCACATCTGTGTGTCTTTCCCTCTTCTTCTCTCTTGCCCTCTTTCGTGCTAACCAGGCAGTGTAATTCTTGGGCCCTAACTGGAAGCAGGACTTCTTCCCAATGTTTGGCTGCAGCCAGCCCCTGCTTCCTCTGCTTGCTGCTTGAGTGCTAATGCCATCATGGGCTGGTGGTTCAGTGACTTATGTGAATCAGCCTGCTCTACCATGAGACTCAGGAGGGAGGGGAATCAGAGCAAAGAGGGAGAGGACACATCTCATCCTATCCTTTCCAGGTCAAAGTGCCTCCTCGTTGCTGCTGTGTTGTTTCTATTGCTGCAGTTTGATGCACTGAGGATTACAGAACAGTGAAATAAAAGCTGTGTTTTGTGATACTGCTAGCTTTTTTTCATAGGCTGGTCACCTCTGGCTACAGGGAGTTTCCTTCAGTTTGTAAGGCCACCCACCAAGAGTTGTGTCATCAGCTTTGGTGAAAGAGGGGGGACTGAGAATGGTGTGGGGCAAACCAGATTGTGGGCTCTGCTGGTGTGGGCAGCAATGGTCCTGGTGTGGTGAGACCTCAGGCCTTACCCACTCCCTAAAGCTGTGGGGTCAAAGAACTGATCTTCTGATCACCCACCTCAGCTGTGACTGATCACCTGCATCAGTCTCAAGATGGTCCCTAGGATGGCTGAGGTTCTCTTCAGCAATCACAGCAGTATTGGGGATTTTACACTTGATGTTGGGAGTTACAAGTATGTCAGTAAGTAAATGGAAAGTTCTGGATGAGATCTTCTCCTGTTGGAAATATTACACCACTGAAGCTGTGCCACTTAAACCAGGATGAGGATCAGACCTGTGTGGAAATCAGATGTACACCATGGAATAGTCCATTTGGTGGTAACTTCCGAATCTATTGGCTGATTTAATTTAAGCTTTTATGGAGATCAGGCTGTAAGGAAACATCAG